CACGATCCATGATGCTCAGGAAAGCTCTTCGCTGGATTAAATCGATTACATTTAATTTGTAGAATCCAGATCGATCAGAATTGCCCCTGATAGTGCTCAAACACGAAGCAAAAATGGCAGAACTGGTTGGAGAGTCTGGGGATGATTCGTCACCAAAGGCTGATGCGGAAGCATCAAATGCAGTCCTAGGAAGTTGTAGGATCGATCCAATTGATCTGACGATGGCCGATTTGAAAATGCCCAATTCAAAATTTGGAATTATGGGTCAAATTCCGATGATGGCGGGAAACAAAGAGGAGGTGATTAGACGAGAAGGGAGAAGAGTCAAGAAGAAAGGTTGGCTCAGAAAGTCAATTCGGAGTATAGCGAAGCTCGTGGAAGCCTTGAATTGAGCAAGGAATTCCTATATAAAAAGCCTTAATTTCATTATTGAAAAACACTTACCTAGTTTTGTAGAAAAGGCAGTTCAACCTGCTTACTTTAGATCCAATTTGGGCTCAATTCTGTGAATTTTTCGAGAAGAAGAAGGTTCAAGCTTTGAGGGCAAAGCTTTTTAAAGAAGGGGGCCTGATACGATTCTGAGTTACTTGCAACTCAAGTCTCCATTGATTGTTAAAGAAGCAATTTCGAATGGGAAAAAGAAACCTAAAAATTGCAGGTGTTTTATGTGTTTCAAGGTGTCTACTTTGCAAGGTCATTCCTCAAAAATGATTCGATGGAAATTCAAGAAGAAGGGTTGAATTTGAAGTTCAAGTGTTGATTTACAAGACTGAAGGCTTGGATGTTCGGAAACAAGTCAATAAAGCCATGATTTGAAGCTCTCAAGATGCGACCTCAAAATCGGGAAACTGCCTAAATAGGGCTAAGTATGGAGACGTGTCCGTAAAGCTTACTTTTGACCATTATTCGAGAAGACTGGTTGAGAGTCAAACTAGGAGCTTTGTGCCACATGAAAGTATGAATGTTCTTCTACAAAGACAAGGGATTGGATGATCGAATGCTTACCTTGAAGGCTTCGAACGAACCTATGCAAGATCGTTAAAGGCCTATCAGTGTGTCTTGCAAATCCAATCCTTCTCGGATTAGGATTACTTTCCTTTCCTGTTTTGAACTTTGATTCCGAGTTAGATTGTGTTTAGACTTCTTTTCATTATTTTTTACCTATCCTAGCTCTATTTAAACCTTTCAATTGCATTGTAACACTTAGATTTCGTTGAATACAAACCCGAGTTTGATTCATCTAGCTTTTGCTAAGTGAGTTTCAGAGAACAACTTAGAGATTTCTACGTTGTTTGTGAGCTTGTATCGATCAGTTACACACCCTGATCGTGGCTAAGCATCGACCTATAATCTTTGAGCCTCTATCCCTTGTGAAAGTTGCTCAAGATTTCCATCCCAAACGCACATAACCTAACCCTGTTTTTTGTGTGTTCTTGTTGGAGTCAATTCAAATCCTTTGAATTGAGGAGGTTGTGCGATTCTGATTATTCGAGACCCTATCTAGGGCTTATAAAAAATGTCAAAACAACAAAACTGAGGGAGAGCAAGTGCTCTTCCTCCTCAAAATAGAAAACAATCATCGATTTATTCCATAATTTGTTCTACAAAAACATTTCCTAACAATTAATTAGGTCTACCCCAATATTTCTGCTTTTGAATTCATTGTGACACAAGTAGAATATAAAATTTCGATTCAAAATGAATCAACACTTATCATATCTATTCTAAGAGTAGTGGGTACTTATATTGATATCAAGAGAATGTCTAAGGATAATGGCTAACGAAGCAAATAATGATGGCCTAGAAAATCCAGGTTGTCTCCCTGGTAACACTTTTATTTTACATCCTTAAGTTGCATGCCAGACATTAGTTGCCTCCCAATAAGCATTATTTCTTTTATGCACTTGAGCTATCCATAGCTTTGAGATCTTGAAAATTCCCAACTTAAGCCTTCTTTGAAGTCCATCATTTTAAACATGACTTTTCGCTGTTTGTCATCCTTTTTTATGGTTTGATGATGAATCATAGAGAGACTGCCACCTTAGTCTCCACCTTGCACCTTTTACCCCCACTTTGATTTGGAATTATGAATTTTGTAGAGGTAATGTACAAGGAGGGACTCATATATTTCCCTCTATATGTTAGATCAGACGCTACAGTCTCATGGCTCTCTAGAAATGTTGCGAATGAATCTACTTCAAGGATTCAAGAGAGGTATGACTCAACTCTATTATGTATCTCTACCAAGATTTTGTAGTTTTCTTCATGGTTTCCAACTTAGGGAATGTTTTCCTCCACCTCTTCATCTAGAGCTTCATTGGAAATGATGGACTCTTCAATCTCTACCCTTACTTCTGTTAAATCATAATGGAAAGGATGACTCGATTTTAGAAGATTGAACTATCCATCTAGAAGAGGATTTCTAGATTATAAAAACAACTACAACAAAGAGTTTCAGAACCAGAATAAACCCTAACAAGAACCAAACTGAATGGCTCTCTAAACACATATGAAACACCTATCTACTTCCCAAGCTCAATTCATCCATTACACAGACACTATGAATTGAGCTTCTGAAGCAAATAACAATGGACCCAAAGTAGAAAGAGACACACGACTTTCTCTCACTACATACTGCCAAGTTCAAATAAAGCGATCGATACAAAATTTATAGAGATCAAGAGAGACGACCGTTTACAAATAGAGTTGTTATGCTATCATGGTTATCATGAGTTCCTACAGAAGGGAGACTGCTTTTGGAGAGGAAAGAGAAAGATGTCATTGAACTTGAGGAGAGAAGAGCGTTGCACGAGGATGCTGGAGATATGATCTCAATCTCAGAGACTCGGAAGGACGATAAGCTCAAAATAATGGCGTAGCAAGTCGGGGCGATAGAAATAACATTGGAGCGAAAATGATTGAGTTGGAGCGAAAACAACAACGTCTTTACTCTTACAACAACTTCCTCTTTCTCAAAGTTAATAATTTCCATGGGTTGTGCAAAATTTTGAGAAGAAGACATAGAGAGTTCACGGAGGAATTCATCACCTCTATTGCTTGGGTTTTTTTGCTCAAAGATAAGATTTTATATTATCTTAACATTGTCATACCAACATCATACCGCTATGATAAGACTCCACAATATCATCTTATAAATGTCATACTATGATTTTTCCATTATGATTAGATTGACAAAACTACCATATCATTGATATCACCACAATGATAATATCATGATTTAATAGTGTACGATGATGTAAAAAAATTTAACTCCGCAAATATTAAAATGGTATGATCTTGTAGAGTACAAAAACATGATCTTTCTGCGATTTGAAAAGTACATTAACTACTACTTGAGATTTGCGCGCCCCAAAAAGCCGTCCAACTGTCCTCAAAAAGCCTTACCTTCCTTTTTTACCCCTCTGCAAAGCTCACCGTAAGATCTTGCCTTCCACATGTGAAAGTTTTGTATTGTAACCATGCCTTTAATAAAAGCAAAGTCCACGAGAGGCTATACTAGTGGCTAATTATCATAAATGGTTACAAAACTATTCTCTTTGTACAAAACGATGACACACCTTTAATTTTGCATGTTTCAGCAACATATGTTTGGACTAATAAAAAAAAGTGAATTCCGTCCATTTCCTCCAAAAAAATCGTTACTTTTGTCCAGTCAGTAACCCAGCCCCGTTGCTGAAAACGAGTGGTTCTCCGCCTTCAAACTCGCCTCCCTTTGCCTCACCACCGTTGGAAATTCATGATAGCTTTCATGCCCCTCATTCGAAAAGCGGCAAATTCGTAGACCTTCACGCCATCTACATCGCTGTCAAACGTCCCTAGTCACCCCTGACTGCCCTTCTGGGTTGGGTCACAAATTTTTGCAGCGAATTTGCACCATGTCCTCTCCCTCATGCCCCTGAAATTATTCCTCCCACTCTCTCCCACCTGCCTCCCCTCGATTACCACCGGCGGCGACAACGATGACAACCCACTACTGCCACCCGAAGCCCTGGACTTGGGAGAATCTAGGTTCATATCCGATTCAGGGGAATGGGGGTCGGGCCCTCGAGCAGGGGATCATAATTCTTCTTCTCCTTTGAGCTTTATGGGCAGGTAGGGGTGCACGTGGGTCGAGTGGTTCGAATTTGGTCATATTAATAATCCGACTCATATTGTACGGTTTTGAAAATATTAAATCCAAACTCACCCAAAAAAAATTAAACCTTACAGTTTGTTTATAATAGGGTTGGGTCGGGTTATAGATACTTATAATTAAAATCTCAACCCAAAACAAAAGGCAACTATTCTAGACTACAAAAATATTATCTAACTAATTGAAATTTTAAACAAATAAATACAAGCAAAAAATATCAATATGTATAAATGTTGTTTGGATTTTAATGAAATGCAATTTATTTCAACACATGTCTAGTACTTTTTATAAATATTTGTCGAAATAAGCTAAAGCGATTATAAGCTTCATAATATATTAATCTTCTAAAATTGTACATAAGAAAAAGATTATGTGAATCATAGCTCATGTTAAATCTATATTTAAATATTAAGTTTAAGAAAGGACTAGACTAATTTTTCCAATTATCTCATTTTACAAAATGAATCATTTAAAATGAGTCAATTCGAATTGTCTACCCCCACCCCATATAATTGTAATTGCCTCAAAACGAGTCAATTTGAAATTTTTTAGGAAGAATTGTTTCATTTAAATTTTGTGATGCCAAACTGATCAATTTGATTAGATTGTCTCAAAATGAAACAATTGGGTCAAATTGATCCATTAGAATTCCTCATCCAACGATCTCTAAGGAAACCACAAGAGAAAAATTTGACAAGATAGGTTAATTTTTGCACAAATATATTTTGGATACGAACACTTATGACAATAGTTCAACACGGGTTGAGTCGGGTTCTACGGGTTGCGTTAGCCAAATCTGCACCCGACCCAATATAGACGATTTGTACAAAAGAAAACCCTCACCCAACTTTAAACTTCAGTTTCGACGATAAATATGGGTGAGTCGGTTTTTGGGTTGTTTTGTTCACCCCTACATGCAGGGGAAGCAACGCCCTTCCTCCGTCCAACTCAGAGACGATTTTGAGCCCCTCTTCCAACATTGCGGCCACCTTCGGAGCCTTGACCTCTCCAATTTCTACTACTGGACCGAGGACCTACCTCCGGTTCTGCAGCGACATCCCATCGTCTCCAATTCCCTCACGCACTTGAATCTCCTCACGGTCTCGCTCAGCAATGGGTTCAAGGGCGGAGGATATAGTCTTCATCCCGGCTGCTTGCGACAATCTGATCGAGTTTTTTGCTCACGATCTCGCTCGGATTGGGTTTGTATTTTTATTAGGTATAATTTTCTGGTGGGTTCAGTTTGGTTTGGTTGGTATAATTAGTTTGCTTTGTTGATTTTTTTTATTATTATTTGTCGATGACATGACATCTTGACTGAAGTAAACTAACGGACTTTTGGATGGATATGGACATAATTATCTTTTTGTTATTAATCCAAACATATATTACTGAAACGTGTAGAATTAAAAGTTTGTTATCGTTTTGTACAAAATGAATAGTTTTGTGATGATAATTAGCCCTGTACTAGTCTACTAGTCGTCTTATTTTCACTAATGGCACATACAAAAGTTTATACGGCAAGTGGCCTAAGTGGGTCTTGATATGGTTTCTAATGGAGATGATCTTATGTACTTGGATCGTGTTCATTGATTTCAAATACCCAGCGACGAGATCGAGGGCTTTCCCTCCCTCCACCATCAACACCAAGTCAAGAAGATTCCACAGACTTTCCCCTTCCCATCCTCACAAAGAACCCCCCTTCTTTTGTTGATTTTCTCCCAGGATAAACAAAGGATTCTTTACTTCTGCAAGTTGTTATCACTTGTCATCTTTGAGTGTTTGTTTCCCTTCAAAATTCTCTTTTTGGGGTATTGGTTTCTGACCTAACCCCACGGAATTCCTCAAAAGTCAAGAACCTCTTATTGCTTTCAAGCGGTACTTTCGTTAATGCGCAGATAATAATTAATATTATCCTTTATCTTCATCCACCACCTTGCCACCTCCCACCTATAGGCGCTCAGCTACAGGTTGGAGGGCTCCTTCGTGGTTCTTTTTGTTCAAAATGGGAAAAAGTTAAAAGCTTGGCTGAAGAATTTCTGTCTGTTTTTCTGGTTCTGTTTCCAATTAAAGCCTGATTTGGAGCGGGTTTGGCAATGCTAGGGTTAGTCTTTGTTAGACTAGAAGATAACTGGTGAATTGGAAATCAGTTGCTGCCGAAGAAAGAGGAGAGATGGTGGTGAGGAAAGTTGGGAAGTATGAGGTCGGGAGGACAATTGGGGAAGGAACTTTTGCTAAAGTGAAGTTTGCTCAGAACACAGAGACTGGTGAGAGTGTCGCCATGAAAGTGCTGGATCGCAGCACCATCATCAAGCACAAGATGGTCGATCAGGTAAAGTTTGGTTCTTTCTTCTAATTTCTTGGCAGCTAGGTCTTCGTGAATTTCTTTTGTCAAATAGGCTGCTTTTTTTGTGTGTTTCCTTTCCTTTTCTTTCCAGTTGAGTTTGGACTTCATATGATCTAATTAGTATCTTAAAGTAGAGGGAAATGTGAATGTGATGGATGAGCAATTGAAACAACTTCCTGAATCGCAAGCCTCAATTTTGCACAATGGTGATGGAGTAACGCTTCTGACCAAAAGAAGGAAGCAGCTCATTTGGAGCAGGTATAGAGTTTGTTATGTTAAGCAAGATCATCGGCCATACCTGTGTTATGCTCAAGGAGGGAGTTTTTGAAGTGATGTTTTTATGAGTGAAACACTTTGATCATCACAGATTGTTACATGTGTTATTCTGCTTGCTTTAAGTAGTGATGCTAACATCATATATCGTGTGTTGTGTCTTATTTGTCGAGTTGAGGTCATTATGCAACTTACATCTGCCAAAATTTTATGCTTTTGATAATGATCGCTGTCTTCCTTGTCACAGATCAAGAGAGAGATATCTATAATGAAACTTGTCAGGCATCCGAATGTAGTTCGGCTACATGAGGCATGCACTCCTTACTTGAGTATTAGATTTCGTGTGTTGGTTTTTCTTAGAATTCAAGAACTTTTTTTTGTTTCTTCTCACTGTTGATTATTTTTGTCTTGTAACACATTATGTAGGTTTTAGCAAGCCGTACGAAGATCTACATAATCTTGGAGTTCATTACAGGTGGTGAATTGTTTGATAAAATAGTGAGTAACCCTAAAGTTTTATCAAACAATGATGCTGTTTGTACCTGCTTTGTCCATTCTTGGCAAGTTTATCATGGAAAATCTTTGTGAATGCAGGTGCATCATGGGAGATTGAGTGAGGCTGAAGCTAGGAGATACTTTCAGCAGCTTATCGATGGTGTGGATTATTGCCACAGTCAAGGGGTTTATCACAGAGATTTAAAGGTGTGTTTTTTTTTTTTTTTTGCTGGCCTCTTATTTACTGATATCTACTTCTGTTTAACTTAAGGTCTAAGATTTGGTTTCTTTTCCCGTGCAGCCTGAAAATCTGCTGCTTGATTCACAAGGAAATTTAAAGATATCTGATTTTGGTCTGAGTGCTCTTCCCCCAGAAGTAAGCAATCTCAAATAACAAATGTTATCACAATAGCTTGTGCTTTGGTGCGACCGAACATATTCATTCTTCTGTCACTTTTATGTACGTAGGGTGTTACATTGCTGCGAACAACTTGTGGAACTCCTAATTATGTGGCACCTGAGGTATTATTATAAATGTGTTGGCCTCGGAGGTGTCATACTCTTATATGTTTCTGATCTTATTGCTTACAGATTCCACTTTGCCGTGCTAGGTACTTAGCCACAAGGGTAAGGGTTACAATGGAGCTGTGGCTGATGTGTGGTCCTGTGGCGTCATCCTTTATGTTCTCATAACTGGATATCTTCCTTTTGATGAACTTGACCTCACCACGTTATATAGTAAGGCATGCACATTAATCAAGTGGACTGATTTCCCTTCAGTTTGTGTGATTTGGCCTTCAGCATTGCACAGAATGTAACTTATAATAGCATTGAATACTGGGAAGTTCAACGTTTTTGGTTTAAGTTGCATGTTTAGCTTCTCTGATTATAAAGGTCAAATTGGCAGTTTGTTTCTTTGTTCAATTCTTCTAAATCTTTTGGATTCTGCAGATTGACAACGCAGAGTTCTCATGCCCTTCTTGGTTTCCAGTGGCCGCGAAGTCATTGATCCACAGAATTTTGGACCCAAATCCTCAAACCGTATGTATTCATGAGATTAATCTTGTTTGTGGACTTTGCGAGTTTTGTGAAAACGCAGGTTGGTTTTTATAGGGTCAGGTCAGGTGAAAGAGAATTTGATGGTTGCTGTATCGTTTTTGGGAAGCCCTAGTGTTTGCTATTATTGGTAGTCTTAAAACTTCCAAATAAACCTGATGCTTTTAAGATGGTGGTCAAGTGTTTCCAGAAATTTTTAAGGAGCTATTTCCTTTCCTTGTTTATAGTATAATAATCAAATCTCGTTGTACATGCAGCGAATTACCATCGAACAGATAAGGGATGATGAGTGGTTTAAGAAAAACTATGACCCGGTAAGACTACCTGAACATGAAGACGTGAACTTGGATGATATAAATGCAGCCTTTGATGATCCCGAGGTTTAATCTGATTCCCGCCTTCATAGCTGAATTCAGAAATTTCCAATTGTTGGTGGGCGAACTGCTTTATGTGACTACTGGTTAAACTGCAGGAGCAAAGTACAGTTGAAGAAGGTGGAAGTGAGGACTTGGGTCCTCTGATTCTTAATGCCTTTGACTTGATCATTTTATCACAAGGATTAAACCTCGGCACCCTATTTGACCGGGGTCAGGTATATAGATTTCATTTCCATAGCCATTTGCAGCTGCTTTTTTCCAAATGAGCCTTTTTGTTTGTTTCTGGTTAACAGAGCTGAATTTTCTGATTCTGTATAAGAACAGGACTCTGTGAAGTATCAAACAAGGTTTGTTTCTCGCAAGCCAGCAAAGGTTGTATTGTCAACAATGGAAGTGGTTGCTCAATCAATGAGTTTTAAAACACATATCCGCAATTACAAGGTAACTAATTGAGACAGCTCCTAAAACAAAGATGAGGGACAAAAACAGTTGACTTGAACAAGTATTCTTTACTGCAATATTTTGGTTTGACTTTTTTTTCAGATGAGAGTGGAAGGTCTTTCAGCTAACAAGACTGCTCATTTCTCAGTAATCTTAGAAGTGAGCTCTTCAACCTCTTTTAACTTTTTTGCCATCAGTTCTTGGTGAACTTTCAGCTAACCATGTATGTTTTTGCATAAAAAAAGGTATTTGAAGTTGCTCCCACGTTCTTCATGGTTGATGCACAGAGAGCAGCCGGTGATGTCAGTGAGTACCTCAAGGTAAATTCATCTTTTCTATTGTTGTTAACAGAAATTCTATGGAATTTTGAGGAGAAATATGGCAGAGGATCATGTATGTTAATTTAGATATCCCGAGCTCAGCAACAACGGCTATTTGCTTCACCCTGCAGTTTTACAAGAACTTCTGTGGCAATCTTGAAGATATCATCTGGAAACCACCCATTGAATCAGGCAGACATAAGATCACCAAGACTAAGAGCAAGAGGCGTTGACTTTTTGTTACTCCCATTCAATCTCTACCCGCATAGACTGTTTTACGTCTCATCCCACATGAACCCTAATCTCCATGCCTGAATCTAACAGTGCCCCCTTTCCCGACGAGGAGAAAATGAATTGAACAGAAGGCATAGAACACCAAACTTTTAGCCTTCGGAGATTATGTGAGATAGGCTGGATCTCTTGAATCAATGACTTAATATCTTGTAGTTTGCTTGCCTGTTGTAAGTTTGCCATTTAATATGTTTCTTTTGATGCATGCCATGCAATTTTATTGCTGCTTAGTAAAGAAGAGCCAGAGAACTCTCCACGCAAGACGATCTTAATGAAACTGTGGCAGGCTCTACGCATTCTCGTGTTCTTGTTGACTCTTATTGGGGGATCAGTTTGAATATTTAGCAACCCAATTCCCACAGCCAACTTCTGGCTGTGATTCGCAGCAGAAGCAGAAGAGTAATCGTCGTGCTCCATATCTTCATCGTCTACTATTTCATGACGCACCTCTATAGCTGCTTGTGTCGTGTAACCATGACCTTTGCTTTCTCCAGCAGTTCATCCAACAACATTGATGTCTAGGTATTCCCAGGGGCCCGCTGAATGCTTGTTTTGAAGGAGTAAACTTTCTCTTTAATGCTAATCCAGCTCCAATCAGCCACCATCAATATTTTCGCCTCAATTCTTTGAGTCTTGAAACATCTTCCCAACGATTAGCAGAGCTGTAATGATTCAACAGAATGTAGTAAATCTGGGGATCTGTAGGCTTCAGTTTGAGCAGTTGCCGAGCAGCATGAAAACCCATTTCCTCATTTCCATGATTCCTACATCCTGAAATCAAAACCAGCCAAATAAACTCATTTGGTGGGACACTAATAGCTTCATCAATCCTACCCAACCCCACGTATAAATCAACCATACATCCATAATGGTCCATCAAAGGTCTGATTCTATATTCCTTTCTCATCATCTGTAATGTATCTCAACGCCACATCTACTACTGTTCTTGCATTGCAGCATGCAACCAGAGCACTCACAAAAATGATCTGGTTCGGTTTAACTCCAGCTAGACTCATATCTTCAAAAATGATCTGCCAAATTCGTCTAAATTTTTTTTTAGCAGAAGATGGTCTAATACTATTCAACGGTTATCATGTTAACAGTGTAACCGATAACCGAACCGGTAGATGACGGTTAACGTTTATATTGATAACCGACTAAATAGTAAATAGTTAGTTCCTAGTAGTCAAATTTAGTTAATTAGTAATCTATCATTAAACTATTAATCAACTATCCGATTACGATCATCTTCATTCTTCACAATTAGGATTGAAAATAAGATGAAATTTAAGGGGATATTTGAAGGCCTACAAATTATAACCCTACCCACCCTAGTTGTAATAGTGGCTCAGGTTAAAATGAAAATAATTTCAGGAGTTTAGAAGAAGCACAATAGAAAGATGAACTTGTGCATATCAACTCGACAACAATCAACAACATTTAAGCTTCAATGAAATATGTTTGGTTTATGAGTTGAGTAATTGTTGTTTGATCTCTTATTCTTGTCTGCTTCTTTAGTCAAATTTGACGGTAAATGGTGTTACTATGTACACGTGTTGGATTGAGTTGATTATGGATTGATAGCTAATTGAAATTATTTTTTCTTCTTTGATAAAAACTTAAATAAAGTACAATACGTATCTAAAAAATCCACAAAAATGCGCAATTGAAAAAAGGTGAATGTCTTCCGTTAGTTAGGTTGTCGATCGTTTATTTTGGTATGAACTTGCCGAATCACTTGCTTAATGGCTATCTAGTTAACCAACAAAATAACCAATAGGAGACTATACGGTTATGATTTACCGACTAACAATGTGATTAATGATAAACATAAATTGCTATTATTGACAAAACAATTACCATTATAATCAAACCGACTAACCACTCCAGTTACAACTTTTATATAATAAAGAAAAATATAAGACTGGATTGAGTTCGAGATTGAAAGAGTTATTAGTTATTGATTCTTATGATCCTTGGGTCTGTCTTCTTAGTTAATCCCGCAATTCACCTTTCTCACGCAAGTTATTCATAGACAAACACAACTACTATGAGCACAATGTAGTGACCAATGAATCTACCTTGAATGTTATATAGTTTATCAAATAATTCATTAATCAAGTCATATTTAATGACAAAAAATATGTCAAAAATTATTATCGATATGTTCATCTTTAGATATTACTTCTTATATAAAATTATATAATAAAATGTATACTAAACTAGATCGGAAAAGATTGGAAAAATTGAAGTTCCGAGATTTGGAAGTTTGAGTCTCCAATTGGAGCAAAACCTTTTGGGCGACAAGACTTTGTTTGGACCACTAAGCTTCATCATTTGGTCATTTATGATTGCTTGTGTCATTATTATGAGCGGAGTTTGTGTTACATTGCGTGAATCACCATGGGTTGCTGTACATTTACAAATTGAAGAACTGCGAAGTCTGGTCTTTGAACATTTGGGTTAACCCCTTGACAAAATTCGCTTTCCCAAAAGAATTCCGATTTATGTCATGCCTTGGCAAATCCTCCCAAATGATCGTGCAAACTAGGAAAGAGCCTATTCAACTCATTCTGTAGACCCATTACCATTCAGAGCTCATTTCTTCTAAACCTAAATAGGGCCATTTTCATGGTTCTAAGAAAATTGCACAGCCTGGCATAAGGCACCTTAACTATCCATAGATGTTCTACTCTTTTCACTTACTTAGGCAAGCAAACAATAAGACACTAGGAAACCTCCCATCATCAGCCAACAGAACAAAAGCAGAACGTTTCAGCAATTATCCAATATGCGTAAAGACATCAGGGTTCATGATCATGTTCTCTCCGACGAGAGCCGCACAATGCCATAACTTTCAAGCTTAAAAATCTAACTTTCCAACACTAGAGAAGTACCAACTCCATCAATGCGAGGTACAGTTCCTTCTGCATCAATCATGAAGAGTTCCAAGGATATCGTCTTCCCGGAAGAGATGATACCTAAAAATTTAAACAATTCCAAAGAACACAATTGATCAGCAGCTAATTTAAGTTGGAATGTGAGCTCTCAAGTTGAGGATAAATTTAACTGCAAACCATGTAGAGCCAAGGTCAGTGTAGAAATCTAACAGAAGCAATATCAAGCTCCATCCTCATTGATATGAATAACAGCTGCTAAGGTTACTGCATTCATTTTGGACGAAGGAGCAGTGCATCTGGAGGAGACCAGAACGTGATGCAAGGCGACTAAGCTATGACCTATAAATGTTTCTATAGGTATCAGTGGTTATTCTTAGACTTGCTTGCTGAATCAATGATTTCAACACTATCATTCAAGTGACAAGTATCTTCTGAGCACCAACCACCTAGCAAAATGCAATAGTAAAATAACACAAGGCCACATAAGAGAGTAACAGACACTTTCATCTTAATGCTGGCTACTACAATATATATTTCAGGACCATCACAATAGCCCATCATTTAGATGTGAAAACCTTCTACTCAAAGGGTCAAAAACTGCAAACTAACTAGACTAAGGGGGGAATGTTAAAATATCCATGCTCAATGAACTTGTAATTTCATCAAAGACAACTCCAGTCACTAATCAGATCCCAAAGAAGGTAGAACTTACTCCTTATCACCAAGCTTCACTTCAGTCCCACCATACTCGGGCAAAAGAACCGTCTCTCCTTCTTTCACCGCTACAGGGATCTGATTTCCATTCTTGTCACGAAGCCCAGGACCCACAGCAACAACTTTGCCAGAGTTCAGCTGAAATTATCTAGTGTTAGACTAATGAAACAAGCACATAAACGGATAACTCATGAACAAAGAGACCAACAAGCATTGCTCCGTATCAGGGTAAGTATAGGTTTCATCAATCATCGGCATGCATAAAGGATTTAGCACTCCTACAACCACAAGTGGCACACTCCAAGTTCCAGACCAGAGGCATACAACCAAAGCCACGAGATTTGCCAGTCCACTAGCTTATCAAGCAATTCAACTCAACTGTCCCTGAACATGGTCACCGATTTCCAAGTTCCACCATAGTATTAGTGGTAGTCGAAGCTCCATTTGAAGATTAGAATGCAAAAACTGAGCTCGTCGACTTATAAATCACTGGATCTAAAATCTGAAGCTTCAAATCAGGTGGACCATTTGATCTGCAAAACAAATTACAACCGATACTAGAAAATAGAAAGCTATTACGATGAACCCACAGCCCTAATCCGATCAGACAGAGACAATAGCGGCCAGCGGTTAAACTGCTCCGGACGTAAAACGAGCTGGATGTAGCGAGGAGGATAAACGGAGATCGTGAAGGAACTATAACTGCTGAAGTTGAAATTAAGAGAAAAGCAAAGGGGTCGGGAGCACTACTACTCCACAAATTGAAAGAGAAGAAAAGAACAGGGAGTGGAGCGATCGAAGGTTGGTGGTTTACCTTAGAGGTTTTCTCCGGAAGAAGGATGCCGGCGGTAGTCTTGGAAGGAGGGACAATCTTCTCGACCAAAATGCGATTGAAGGCTGGAATCAAACGCTTCGCCATTTTTCCGGGAATTTGGAGCGGCGGAGGGTCACAGCTACCGATGAGAGAAGAGAGAAGGCGTGGAGACTGGAGAGGTCAGGGGTTTAGGGAGGAAGTACTGGAATCTTCGGGTGTTAAGACGGGTCGGGATGGGGTTTTAGGAAAAAATAGGGTTCAGGGAATTTTAACTAGAAGCTTCTAAAACCCTGGGTCAATTACATAAACACCATTGAAGTTTGGGAGTCACTAAAACCAACTCCAATAATTCCTCTCTAGTTTAGATTCCAATTCCATCACTTCAAAGTTCAAATATGGATAAATGACAAAAAAAATTTAGTCACTAAGTTTACATTTTACATTTATGTTTGACAAAATTCACCTGCATAGTCAAAATTATCGAGTTTGTGACAATAATAGTCAATTTATGATAAATACACAAAATGTCTAAGTTTTGGAAACATGTTTGACACTTTTAGCCACTTTTATTAAAAACTTTGACATTATTAGAGATTATGTCAATTACATTAACAAGACGTCGTGAATGTCACAGGGACGAGAATTACATTAACACTAGGAAAATTATGCTATTAAGGTTGCGGTTCTATCCATCAAAGTGTGGGTTTTGGATTAACGCTAACAGTTGTAAGAACTGTTGTTTTTGCTGAATTGGCTTGCACTCATGGGGACTTGATTCCAGTTGTATATCGTTCTCATAGGATTGGCCAGGTTTCTTCTGTCAATATATATTTGTGTTAGAAGTCCTGGGATCGAGGGTACTTCCGGGTCGGATTAGAGAATTGGAAATGAAAAATCAATTACCCTCTATTCCCGAAGGACGGAAAAGGAGGTGAAGGAAAGACTTGGGAGGTGAATTGGATTTTCGATGAATTTTCTGCCATTCTCGAAGCTTTACCTAGTACCAAAGGAACGAAAAAAAGGAAGGAAGAGGGAAAAAGGGCCAAAGTTCACTGGCAGTTGATAGCTAGACCTAAGAAAGAAGGGGCGTTAGGTTTCAAAGACCTCAGAAGCTGGAATATGGCTTGCTTAGTAAGACATCTCTGGGCTATTTCTTCTAATTCTTCTTCTCTATGGGCAAGTTGGGTTAGGCCCTATCAGCTCACCTATACTTCTCTGTGGGACATACCTACATCTATACCTTGCTCTTGGGCTTGGAGGAAAGTCCTGAAGATTAGGACCAAAGTTGCTCAACATCTAATAGTCAGACCTGCAGGTGTGTACTGGGGAGACTGTGTGATGCACAAGTTCTCAGTAAAAAAAGTCTGGGAGACTCTTCGTGATAAACATGAGGCTGTGCAGTGGTTTCCATTGCTTTGGAAGTCTTTTGGAACACCTAGAGATAAGCTTCTAGTTTGGTTAATCATCCTAAACAGAATTGCCACATTAGACAAGGTACAAAGGTGGAACAGTGCAGTGATCAACCTATGCCCATTATGTTCTTCTGAGGAGGAATCCAGAGATCATCTTTTCTTTGGATGTGCTTATTCTAAGCGTGTGTTGCAAGCAATGTTTGCAGGAAGGGATGTGGTGGGGGCGAATTGGGAAGGTTCCTTGGCAAATGCTATATCACTGTTCAGGATGAAAAACACTGTATCTGAGCGAGGAAGGCTCCTTTGGGTAATGGTGGTGGCCGAACTCTGGCGGGAACGATGCAGAAGAGCTGGTGAGGCTCTATCGGAAAACCAGCTACTGAAAAAGCTGCAAGGGCTATTGCACCTACTCAGGCATGGATTCCCTCAGGTGGAACTTGCTGTCTCGGAAGATTATGTCAGTAGTATTGTGCTTCTGTCTCTTGTTTAGTTTGTTAGTCAAAATTCTGAGTTGCTATTTGTCTGTAAACAGTGGTGTTGTTTGTTTGGTTCCAGTTGGGGGGTTTCTTCTTTTGAAAACCCTCCTTCTTGATGAATAAAATCTGCTTATTCATAAAAAAAAAATGGAAGGAAGGAAGGGGTACTGTTTAACTCGCCCCGAGAGAAAACAGCTCACGCTCTCTTTTATTTGTCATCTCTCTCCTCTCTCTCTCTCTTTTATCTTCTTCTTCCCCGAATAGGCAAGAACGAATTGCCTTTTCTCCTCTGCATGTTGGATGAAGCTCTTCACTTGTCCGCCATGCCCAGATACGAAAAAAATTAATGAGTGAAACCAATAAATCCAGCTTGTGGAATCAACAAATCGAGAATTGGTAGCCGTCAATTCTAGGGATGGAGCATCTCAATTAAAATTGGTATAATCATTGTGGAAAATGGAAATTGGAAAATAAGAACCAGAGCAAAGAACAAAGAGAAAGAGCTGCTCACGCCTCTCTATCGCCTTTTCAACTATACTGTGAATCCATAATCTTCAGTATTGATGTCATTTGGGAGAAACAAAACCATACATTATATGCAAGACTAAGTGAGAAAATTGAAAATGCAATTGCATGTTGAAGATAAAGAGAAAAAATGGAAGGGGAAGTTTGAGTTTGGTCTGGCTCTGGGTTGGAGAACGGACAGAAGAGAAACTTATATTGCCTCTGTTTTGGAGAAGGATAAGAGAGGGATTAAAGTGGTGAGTGGTGACGGGTGGTGGAGAGATAAGAGTGAAAAAGAAAATAAAAGGAAAAATAATAAAGAAAAATAAATATTGATTATATTTATTTATTAGTAAATTATATTTAAAAATACTCTTTTCGTTATGTCCTCTCTTTAGTTTTTACCTTTATAAATTATATTTAATTTAATATTGATTACATTAAAAATTATATAAAATTAATATAATAATCCCCATCAACTATTAAAATCGTCTACTTTTGATTTTTAATAGTGAACAAAATTACTACACAGTACAAATTTAATTTACTATTCATAAGCAATGAGAATAATATCAGCATAAAATTAAATTATTTTACTATTATATACCCAATAAAATAAAATATATATCGCAATTCTCAATACATTTTTTCCTTCACACTTTTCTTCATAAAACACCATTTTCCTTCCAAATGGGTGATTTACCTCACATATAACATTGTTTTGTGCGATACATAAAATTGTTGCGTGAGATGTAAAAGTGTGTTACGTTCCTTTTAAAAACGACATTAGAGTGTGAAATTTTTATAGAATGGATGCCATCTTGTATAGCAATGGTAATCCAAGTTTTATGAGAAATTTTAAATCGAGTTAAAATGAACTAGATTTTAAGTCGTTAAATTTTTTTAATAGCTAACCAAATTATCAAGAAAAATGAAACGACTTGAGAATAATACGGATACAAAAGTTTTAAACGCATATAGATTTGTGGATGTGTAGTGTGATTTTTTGTATATTTATGTTTTTAGTTGCTATGTTGATGAATCAATAAAATAGCGAACAAAATATTAACAATAGGTTCACAAAAAAAATTCAAACCATTTACTTTTGATTTTTAATAGTGAACAAAATTAGTAAGAAAGTAAAAATTTAATTCCCATAAACATTGAAAATAATATCAACTTATAATTAAATTATTTCACTATTATATACTCAATAAACTACCATATCCATAACAATTCCCAATACATATTTTCCTTTCCACTTTCCTCCATAAAACACCATTTTCCTTCCTCTTTCCTTAACCTCCAAATTGTGTCTCCCCTCCTAATTCCCTTCCCCTCCCCTCCATTTTCCTCCCTTCCTTCAGGAACATGGAGTTGGGATTGATCTTCTTTGGGATTAGAAATGGAAGATTTGGGAACATAATTTGAGGAAGAAGGTAGAAGTGGCGGCAACAACACTAAGGAGAGAGAGAGAGTTAGAGAGGAGATTAGGGAACTGATTATTATGATAAAACCTAATGGGGTAATCCTATTTACATAATGCATTTATAATTCGATAATTTTCATATAACTACTCATACTTGTTCCTGTTGGGTTGCTCTACCTCATATGGTGGTTGGACTAACTGGTTTGAGTTTTAGTTATCTTTGATTCATTGGAGAGTTCAAAAGTCTTTCTAGAAAATCCATTATTATTAAAATAGAGAGAGATATTATCTAGAAAAAAGGAAAATAGGAGACAGCCTTTCATTTTCTAGATAGAGAATCAGAAAAGAGAAGAGATAAGGAAAAGAGACAAGAGAGAAAACAAAGAGCTGCAGTTTTTCTTTTCTACAATGGGGTAGTCTATTCAAGTGAGTGTTCTAGAAATTTGAACCGTTGAATCGTCCTGAAATTTGGACAGCGGGTTTAGAATCATCTACGCTTCAATCTGACCAGAGGGATCGTCGTTTTGAGGTCTGTTTCGTCGAGGATCGCTGTTGGACAGTAGGTGTACAAATCTATTTTTGGGTACCTCTAAACTTCTCTTTGTCCTGCTCTAGTTCTAGTTATCCACCATGTTGGTGAGAGGCATTGCGGTTGATTGTTGATCCAAGAAGGTTGTTCTTCAAGTGTTTGTAATCGTCTAGCTAGTCTAGAGAGGATTAGTGATCCCACCAAAGTCTAGTGAAGTTGTGGATTGGACAAAGGTCCTGTGGTTTTTCCCGATTTGGGGTTTCCACGTAAAAATCGTGTCTTGTGCATTCTATTCTTGCTTGTGATTGCTGCCCTATCTCTCAACAGTGGTATTAGAGCATTAGGTTGTTTAGGGGCTGTGTTAGGTGAATGGCAAGAATGGACGACTCAAGTAGAGCTATGATTAAGTTGACATCATCCAACTACTCTATTTGGAAGCCACGAATGGAGGATATTCTGTTTTTGCAAGGATCTCTATGAACCAATTGAAAATGGCAGCGAGAAGTAGGAAGACAAGACCGAGAAGCAATGGGAGTTCTTGCATAGAAAGGCGGTGGCAATCATTCGACAATGGATTGACCAAAGCATCTTTCATCATGTTGCAAAAGCTACAAGACCAGATGAATTGTGGCAAAAATTGGAGTCCATGTATGTGAGGCAATTAACTCAAAACAAAGCCTCACTCATTCGAAGAATTGTGAACTTGAAGTACAAGGATGGGCATAGTGTCTCGGAACATTTGAGTGACTTTCAAGGGCTTGTGAACCAGCTAGTGAGGGATCCCCGTGTCAGTCAAGTATTTAAGTCAAGCTTTGAGATTTAAGAGTGGAGTAACAGTAACTCCCATACAGTTTTAAAGATTAAGCTTTTTAATAGTGGAAGTACAAAACAACTTCCACTCAGTTAAGTAAAGTGATCAAGTATTAATAAGATGTTAAAACGTAAGGGCGTAGACTGACCTCAACTCACTCACCAGGACTTAGTAAAGGAAAAGCGAGAACTAGACCGATAGTTGCAGCTAGAGGAGCTGTTAGTGAGCAGCAAGATCGAGAAAGCTGTTCGAGGCAAGCCAGCTAGAGGAGAGCAGTATAAGCGTCATAGAGGATGCTTACTCAAGGTTTCAGTAGCAACAACATTAGAGTTTGTTAGTTATTTACATTTATGATTATGAGTATAAACTGGAGATCAGATTGAGATTTTAAAGTTTGAGTTTAATTTGCCCACGTGTTAGGGCTTTGCTTTGAACTACAAGTGTGTGTTTTCATTATTTTTATTTATGAAAATTTTTCCCGCTGCAATTTAAGATTTGAGTATTTTATTTATCAAGGGCATTTTAGTAAAAGTAGTACCCGGCCGGGTTAGGGAGTTTCATACACAACATCCGATACTCCTCCCATGCCCTTCCAGCGACCGAATCAATCTGTTGTCCGCTGCTGTTCGGGTCTGGTTCGGCCGGTTCCAGTCCGGACCTAACCAGTTTGGTTTGTCTGGTCCAAACAGGTTCGTTTCATTTCGGTTCGACCCGGGTCAGGTCGGTCACTTTGGGTCCGCCCGCCTCAATCCGCCCAGGCACCGCACAAACCCAGCCGGTTAGGGTGGTAATTTCCGCCCAGCGGCCCTCCTTGTGGGTCAAACTCGACCCACTCCTTGCTTTGGTTGATCAGGTTCATCTCCTCTTCGCCGGGCCTAGTCAGCCTGTTTCTCGTTTGGCCCGCGGTAATCACGGACACGAACTCTTCTCGCTTCCGGGCCCATCGATCCGTAGCTCATCTCCCCGCCTACCGAGTCGTAGCCCGACATCTTGGCCTTCCCGCGCATTGCCGCCATCTCCTGGGCCGTTAGAGTAGGTAACAGGCCTGGGGCAGGATTGGGCTACGTCGAACCCTGGCATGCACGCCTCGTCGCTCCTCCCGAAGTGCAAGGCCCACCGCCGCCCTGACCACCGGATCCCGCGCGCGCCACCTCTCCCGTTGCCCGCTGCACAGTCTTCGTCACCACCGGCGCCTCGATCTTCACGCCCGACGTCTGCTATGCCGCTCCTACGGCCGCCGTGACGGTTGAGGACAGTGCTATTACCGCCTTCATCAGGTCGGTAAGAGCGCATAGACCTTCTTCTAGAGGGTGGTCGCATCCGTCGGGTGCATGGTCACAACCTCAAGCTGTACCTCAAGAGCGACGTGGATCCGCTCTTGAAGGCACTTGTTCCTGCACCGCCCTGAGTATCCACCATGGGCGTCCAGCTAAAAGACGGTAAAGAAGCGCTTGTGGGGAGGCAACCCCACCACGGTTTGATTTTCTTTCTTGTGTTTTGAGTCGGATTGTAACCCGGTTTGGGTTTGGTTTGTTTCTCTTTTGGTTTGGATGATATTTGATTGGGCTGACCATTGAACCTAACATATTGTGTTTGAGCTCTTCTGTTTCCCTTTGGCTGTGCTTGCCCCGACTGGCCCGTTTCCAGTCTTCTGCAGTCCGTGCATACCGTTAACATCGTTACCTTTTCCTTCCCTCTTCTCCATTGAGGGCAATGTTGATCTTAAGTGTGGGGGGATGTTTATCTTTTGAATGCATTAGATCTGTTTGTGTGCTTGGAGCCTAGTCCACTGTCCAAATTTTTAAATTTGAGGGCTCCAAGTACGTGTTTCCTTGCAATTGCCTGCTCAGTATGCTTTGAATTGACAGTCTTTATAGTAATATGCAACCTAGGGAGGTAGTGTAGCACTATGGAGGATGTTGATGCATTTAAGAAGTCTCATTTCTTCTTCATATTGTGGTGGTTGATTGAGTGAATTAGTGATCTTAGGACCCTTGAATTGTGTGGTGTTGTGGATTCTCTACCTGTCATGGACTCTTGTATCATGTTTTGAGTTTAACAGGTGCTCGAAAATGTGCTTCAAAATAACGTCTCCCGTGCGAATAGGGCGAAAGTGTGTAAGGGGAGACGGGAATCCGTTCCCAATTTCCACCTACTACCTCCAGCCCCCTTGCATGGCTTTACCCCGCACGAGGCTCGAGACATCCGCTCCTAGCATGGCCGGTAAGAGCAGGTTGGGACCCTTGAAAAGAAAAGAAAAGAAAAATAACAGAAAAAAGGGGTTCCAACCATCTTCAAAGAAAATAGAGCACCTTGAAAAATGTGAGTCCATGATCCTTTGTTTTTTAGAATCTTTTCATCCACAATTCATTTGTCCTCTGTTCACTGTTTGCCATGATGCCGACTCGCCGAAGAAGCTATGAGATGACTTGTGCGTCGGTTGACCTCGTAAGTTGCTAAATGATCTAGGAAGTCCTCTGCCTAAGATCTGGGTTGTTTGTTGCTATAGAGGTCTGGAGAGTTGCATTGGTTTGAGTTAGGTTTGCTTGGGGGCAAGCAAACGGTTAAGTGTGGGGGAGTTTGATAACGATGTAATTGCACATATTTGCGCCCCTAGTTCTTTCCCGTTTGAGGGGCATAGTCGTGTATTGTGGCCTATTTTACGCCGGGTTGTGCTATTTTGTCATATTTCAGGTCCCAGGTGTCAAAGGGAAGGCTAACCACGAGTTTCGGGGCATTCGGAAGTCATTTCGGTGAGCTGGAGCCAAAACACGGGCAGCCTAAAGCATTACACGGCCGTGTTCCTGTGGCCGTGCTTTTTATGCCGAGAGCTGAGCTGATTACACGGGCAAGGCCGAGACAAAGCACGACCGTGTTCAAGCATTACACGACCGTGTCCAACGCGAAGCACGGCCGTGTTTCTTCCCAATTGCTGGCCGTGTAATTAAGCCTTGGCCGAGACACGGGCGGAGTCAGGCAAAGCACGGCCGTGCCCTCGACCGTGCTTTGGCCACTGATGCTTTTAAGCAGATTTTCAGCCACAATTCAAGGGGATTCGAGTTTTAGAGAGAGATCAGTTCCTAGAGAGAGAAAGCGACGAACAAGAGTCTCCAAGCGCCCTAGATTGATCTTCAACACCATTGGAGGCCAGTTTGAGTTTGGAGAAGTGCCGATCAACGTCCAGAAGCAGGAATCCATCTCTTCACAGTATGAATTCCGCGTCTGATTCTGCTTTTGCTTTCTTCTCTATGGAGTAGTTCTCCCATTCATCTGGGTATGGAGAACCCTAGATTTGTATGTTAGGCTTTGATTGTATGAACCCAAGTAATGATTCTATGATTTGATTATATTCGATTGAGGTTTGATTGATTGAATGACTTGAATCCTGATCAAATTCCTGTTGTTTCTGCTTTAACCTAGAATGAGAATATCTGCCTAGGTTAATAGAGTATCCTTGATTGAAGGTAGGGAGTTGGTGACTTTAGTCGAGGAGCCAACTCACTATTCTGTACCGGATTTACTCCGGTAGTGGAGGTTTTGTTCTTAGGGCCTCAATCTGTCTACTCCGGTGGAGGTTAGTCGCCCGCTAGAGATTCAGATTGAGAGGGTCTGAAGACCTTTAGTCGAGACTTCAGGCTGTTTAAGAACCTTCCGCAGTATAACTTTCATAGAAACTGAACTTGGTAATTACAATCCGGCTTAACTGCAGTCTAGGGGGAACCATATCCGGGTGACCTCTCTTAACCTGAATACAACTGTTTACTTGCTTTGTTAGTTTGATAGTTTAGACTTGCATTCCAGTTGCATTGCTAGATAACACGAATTCACTGAGTAGTCATCAGATCTAGGACCCGGGTTGACATATAAACCTAATCCGCTATACTACGCTTTAGGAAGTGGTTTCACTTGGCCAATTCCTGGAGTGACAGTAGAGTCGAGTCAGTTAGAATGTTGGAGAGATCGATAGTTTGAAAAAGGAGTTGAGTAAATCCTTTGCTATGAAGGACTTAGGACCGACAAAACAAATTCTAGGGATGAGAATCTCTAGGGATCGAAGGAATGGTAAAATTTGGTTGTCTTAAGAAATGTATATTGATAGAGTTCTTGAGCGGTTCAACATGAGCAAGGCTAAGGCGGTTAGTACTCCACTTGGAGGACATTTCAAATTGAGTTTGAAGCATTATCCTACAAGTGATGAAGAGAAAGAAGCAATGAAGAATGTGTCTTATGCATCAGCTGTTGGAAGCTTGATGTATTGCATGGTTTGCGCAAGGTAGGATATTGCTCATGTCGTTGGGATTGTCAGTCGGTTTCTTTCCAATTCGAGGAAAGAACATTGGACAACAGTGAAGTGGATTCTTCGCTACTTGAGAGGTACTTCTAGAGTATGTCTATGCTTTGGTAATGGCAAGACCATACTTGATGGATATACCGATGCTAACATAACAGGTGATGTGGACTCTAGAAAGTCAACTTCTGGATACATGATGACTTTTGCAGGTGCTGCAGTTTCATAGATATCTAAACCGAAAAAATGTGTTGCATTATCAACAACAGAATCCGAGTACATAGCCATGACGGAAGCTTGCAAAGAGATTCTATGGTTGAAGAAGTTTCTTCAAGAGTTGGGCATCAAGCAAGAGAGGTATGTTCTCTATTGTGATAGTCAAAGTGCAATCCATCTTTGCAAGAATCCTACTTTCCACTCAAGGTCGAAACACATAGATGTTTGATATCATTGGATTCGTGATGTTTTGGAAGAAAAGTTGTTGGAGCTCAACAAAGTGCATATGGAGGACAATGGTTCGGTCATGATGACTAAATCTCTACCAAGTAAGAAATATATATTATGTCGAGATGAGGCAAGTTTGGAGTTACCCCCATATGAGCTGGAGGGGGAGATTTGTTGGGTTGGTCCACCTCATATGGTGGTTGGACTAACCAGTTTGAGTTTGGGTTATCTTTGGCTCATTGGAGAGTTCAAAAGTCTTTCTAGAAGATCCTCTATTATTAAAATGGGTAAATGCCACATTTGGTCACTGAGATTACTAAATCATGTCATGTTTAGTCACTAGAAAAAATTAATATCAATTTTGGTCACTCGAATTACTGAAATGTGTCACATTTACTCACTCTCCCATTAATTTCCGTCCAACTCCATTAACGGAGTTGGACGGAGGGTAACAGAGAGTGACTAAATGTGACATGTTTCAGTAATTCGAGTGACATTCATAAAAAGAAGTAATTCGAGTGAGAGGAGTTGGACGGAGGCTAACTGGAGAGTGACTAAATGTGATCTGTTTTAGTAATTCGAGTGACCAAAATTGATATTAATTTTTTCTAGTGACTAAACATAACACGATTTAGTAATCCCAGTGACCAAATGTGGCATTTACTCTTATCAAAATAGAGAGATATTTTCTTGAAAAAAAGGAAAATAGGAGACAACCTTTTATTTTCTAGATAGAGAATCAGAAAAGAGAAGAGAAAAGGAAAAGAGAGAAGAAAGAAAACAAAGAGCTGCAGTTTTTCGTTTCTGCAGCAGGACAGCCTGTTCAGGTGAGCGTTATGAAAAATCGAACCATTGGATCGTCCTGAAATTTGGACAGCGGGCGGAATCATCTAGGCTTCAATATGACCAGAGGGATCGTCGTTTTGAGATCTAGTTCATCGGGAGTCGCTGTTGGACAGAAGGTGCACGATTCTGTTTTTGGGTACCTCTAAACTTCTCTTTGTCTTGCTCTTGTTCTAGTTATCCACTATGTTGGTGAGAGCCATTGTGGTTAATTGTTGATCCAAGAAGACTTTTCTTGAAGTGTTTGTAATCATCTAGCTAGTTTAGAGAGGACTTGTAATCTCATCAAAGTCTAGTGGAATTGTGGATTGGACAAAGATCCCGTGGTTTTTCCCGATTTGAGTTTTCCACGTAGAAATCGTGTCTTGTTCATTCTATTCTTGCTTGTAGTTGTTGTCCCGTTTCTCAACACTTCCCCAGTACCAATTAATCAAATAACTCCTAAGTATCCCAAAAGTACTAAAATAATCCAAAACAACAAATTAACCAATGCTTAAATAAATGTATGATAATGCAGAAAGATTCTAGAAACTCGAGAAGACTCGGTTCTAGCATATTGCCTGCTTGCAAGTGATACTGTTGGTGACGTTAAGTATATGAGATGTCGTGCAAAGCAAGTTAGAAAGCTCGGGACAGATACTGGATGGACACGACGATGTGATGGAAGTTGTAGCAGAAACCATGGTGGTGGGCAGTGTCAGTTGCAGGCATAGCTCCAAACCTGTGGGAAAGCAGATGATGAGGAAGAAGACTAAGAAAAGCAGCAGCTCAAATCATCCAGGGCCCGTTGCAGTCGAAAACTTTGGGCAATGCCACGGGTTGTAGGCTTGTAGCTGTACGTAGCAGCAGGAACCAAGGGAGGAATGCAGACGTCGTTTAAGAGGCTTCCATTGGGTCGAGAAGGGACTCTAATTGGGTGAGGAAATGCCTGATTCAAGCATCTCGTTTCCACAAACAATGAGTTTTGGCAAATTGGCGGCTGAAAATTTTGCATTCGACCCAATGAAAATACAATTGATTTCTCCTAGCAGTCGCGTTGTTTTTCTTGTAAAAAAAGGGGAGGAAAAGCGCTTGCAGGCAAATGACAGCAAGCTGAATCATGTTGCTCATTTCTCAATCCCCTACGCTTCGATTCATTGTTGTATACAGAATCAAATTACTGATCTCATGTGAAGCATATGAACAGCCTTCGCGATATTTTGTTGTCAAAGTGGACAGGGCGTGCCTTGTGATGATGTTACAGCCACCATTCTTTCTTTCTTTAGTCTCTATACTTCATCGTTTCCTTCTCGAAGCCTACAGTGGGGAATTGCTTTGCATACTCCTCAACATCATGACGAAGCTTTGCAATCTCAGATTGTTGTGCATCTGACTTTAGAGCTGCGGTGAAGTCCTTCAACTTGGGTCCTGAAATCAAATCCCCAAAGCACATCAGTCCAGCATACATCTAAGAGATATATGGAATAAGCTAAAGGAAGAAATGACCCACCATTAGAATCAGCTTTGATCTTCAATGCTAACTTGACAGCTGCATCGAAGAACTCAGCTACTTTCTCAAAGTCTTCCTCAATGAACCCCCTGGATGTGAGAGCCGGCGTCCCTGAGAAAAACAAACCAATGAAGAGTAGTTCTACAAACTGTCTTTCAAGTGATGGAAGGTTGCGGTAGTCCATTAGGGAAGGGAGGGAACAAAAGTCTTACCCATGCGAATACCACCAGGAACCATGGCTGACACATCCCCAGGAACTGTGTTCTTATTAGCTGCAATATGAACTGATTCCAAAACCTTTTCAACTCTTGACCCGTCGATACCCTATCACAAAAAGTTAATTATTTTCCCTTAACATGACACTTTCCTGTAAGGAAACGAACAAGGTAAGAGAGAGAAGCTTTTCATAATACCTTGTTTTTCAAGTTCACCAAGACTAAATGGTTATCTGTTCCACCAGCCACTAGTTCATAGCCTTTATCCAGTAAGCTCTGCAGATATTTTTTTTAATTAGAAATAAGGCCATCTACAAGGCAGTTACATACTTGAGAAACACAGCAATATACAGCACAACTGAGATATAAAGTTTAAGCAGACTACCACCAAGTACCTGCGAGAACCTTGAACAATTACTGAGAACTTGCTCTTGATAGGCCCTATATTCAGGGGTTTTAACCTACAGCCAACGCCAGTTACAAAAAATAAGCCCCCAAGGCTTTAAATGAAAAAAGAGTCTGCTGGGGGATGAGTTTGGCCTTACCTGCTTCAGTGCAACTGCTAAACCAGTAATTGTGTGATTGTGCGGACCACCTTGAAGTCCAGGAAAGACAGCCGCGTTAATCTTATCTTCATAGTCATACATCACCTACACGAGCAGCTCAATCATAATGGGATGTGTCCTAAAATTGGGATCGAGTGACCAATGTAACAGCTTTAACAATGTAAGGATTTATATTCCTGGTGTTTATTTCGGCAGTTCAAATTACCTCTTTCCCTTGTTTGTTAACTTCTTTCACCCCTTTCCTGAAGAATATCATCGCCCCACGAGGACCCCGAAGCGATTTATGAGTTGTTGTCGTTACAACATCAGCATATTCAAATGGAGATGGGATGACACTAGCTGCCACCAACCCACTGATGTGTGCCATGTCAGCCAACAAAACAGCTTTTTGCTTGTCGCAGACCTATCAAAATCACACAATGAAGGTTGTGAGGGACATATCCCGACTAAGGAATTAATGTATACAAATGTGTATGCAAAAGATATGAGAGCTTACTTTGCGAATACGTGCATAATCATAGAGGCGTGCATAAGCACTTGCACCAGCAACTATGAGTTTTGGTCTAAAGAGTGCAGCACTATTCTCTAACTGAAAATTTTGGCACATGCAAATCAAACTCAGCTTTGAGAACCGATAGTGTTTGACAATAACCAGATAAAGCATGTTGAGTGAGCTCAATTGAAATGGACAAGCAGAAAGATATTCAGTATTCACAAAATTTTATGTGGCATAGTACCTGATCATAATCAATATAACCTGTACTCTCATTTAATCTGTATGGCATGGTCTCAAAAAAGATGGACACAGCAGATATCTTCTTTGTATCAGTCTGCAAGATGCCCAGGAGAGAGTGAACCATATTAGTCATATTTAACAGCATGTACTAGTTTCACATGCATGTTCGGATAGGTCTTGAATAGATGAATTAGACAAGCACAACGTGACCTCTATAGAGCAGTTGTAGGAAACAACTTTATCTGTTTCAACTCAGCACCAATATCGATAATCACCTGATAACCATGTGAAAGATGACCTCCATGTGGCAGATCAAGGGCCATGATTCTCTCATGAGGTTTTAACAAGGCAGTATAAACTTGAAAGTTAGCAGGAGATCCAGATAGAGACTGCACATTGACTGCAACAAAGAAGAGACATATGTTAAGACATATTCACTCACTTCCGCTAGGCTGTCTTCAGCGAAATTCTTATGTACTAACTACCACTTGTACTGGGGTGTAAGAATGCTGATGATACCAATTAAACAACTGAATGTATGAATACTGCACAAGTCGAAGCACTTTGCCATTTGATGTTTGGGCATTTTTATTTTATTATGTAAGTAATTGCCGAATTATGTTCGATCAAATAGTAAACAATAGTTAGCGATGCATCACCAAGACGAGAAGAATCTTTGGAAAAGATTTTCTCTTTAGTTGGTAAATTAAGCTTTTTTCTCAGCTGAAACAGAGCACTTCCTAGTACCACCAAGATAATGTCAATACCTATGTGATATAGATTCTAGCAGTGGAACCTATGTGATATCTAATCTATCAGAAATGATCGCCAACTTTAAATTGCCTTGCATCGACATTTCTCTTTGTGTAGAGCCAGTGATACCATCATATCAATTCACGTCAAATTTGTAACCCATTTCACTAAATAGTTGCACCATTTCATGAAGCACCAACCAAGCCTCTTAACAATTTTAGCATCCTAAGAAAATGAAGTGTGCAAGCATGAACAATACACGAGCCAATACCACTTGCCAAACTCGCCCGAAAGCAACAAATTAACCAAGTCACAAATTCAGACAGGGTTCCAGGTTCGTCCATGGAGAGCACTATGATAGTCCTGTTTGACAAATTTGGCAGAATGAGTTCATCCAGTGGCAGTTGCCATCAGAAGAATGAATGATTCACTTACCTCCCCATTTTGCAGGATCCAAGTCAAAGGTTTCTAAAGCACGCTTCTGACATAAGCTCTCAGCCATGTCAATGTACCTAATTAAGAAACAAAAGAAGGGGAGGAAAATCTCAGCCAGAAATCATAGATGCAGTTGGAAATTGGAACTAAGTCCTTAAGCTCTTCAGGCATATCAATGGCACATACTCGTTTCCACCATAGTATCTTGCTCCAGGGTAACCCTCACTGTATTTATTGGTCATAACAGAACCAACAGCTTGCATTACAGAAACTGAAGTGAAATTTTCTGAAGGTATAAGTTCAAGTCCCTGAAAGAAAGTTCAAATACAAATCCCCCATATGTCAATATCCAATTCTCTTAAATCAGCCAGGGAACCAAAGATTTGCAAGAGCAGCAACAGTTAAACCAAAGATGCACAACAGAGAAATGTCGATATATCCATGCAATTGAATATGGTACCTTCCATTGTCTGGCTTTCTCAAGTTCAATGATATCAGCTACTTCCGGATCGATTTCCTCTAGCGGTGCGTTCAATTGCTTTATCCACTGAGAAGAAAAGGCCAATCCGAAAACAATATAACGAGAATTGCTCAAGTATTACTATTTACCACCACTACTACACGTCGTAACCGTGGATCTCAACGTTCAAACGATTACAGAAAGAAACGTAAGAGATAACAGATAGAAAGGAAGCAGAGGCTTACGGCGGCGCGAGCGGTGTCTTTGCCGGGAACTGCTGGATTAGGCAAGGAAGACTGCAAAACCAGATCACAAGCGAATTCAAAACCGAGAAAAGAGAACGAAACTGTAAGAGTTTGGCGAAAGCAACGAACCATGGAATAGAAGGAACCGCCACTGAAGCAAGGTTTGATCGGAGACTTGAGAGTGGAGGAGAGCCTGCGGAGCGCAATCGCCGCCATTGTCGCTCTGTAGTCTCTCTCTCTCTCTCGTAGTCTAGCTCGAAGCGGGTTGAAGAGCTTGGGTGGTGGCGAGTATTGTTGGTACGTGGCACGTAAGGTAAAAGGTTACCTCGGTTGGTGGGGAATGGTGGCAGCGGCTGTGACAGTGGGGTTGGTGACGACGCTGAGTGGGAAAGTGGTTTCCTCTTTTGTTTTGTTCTGATTTCTGAACTGAAAACTGGGGGAATTTTTTTTTTATTATTCGAAACAGGGGGAAATTTTGGATTGGGAGTGCTGACAATTTTTTATTTTTATTACCAACATATGCAAATGAATCGAGTTTAGTTTTATCTCAGCTCGAGCTCGGCTCATTAATAAAGGAGTTGAGATAAAAAAAAATGATTCGTATTTGATATATTTATTTTGTATGTAATGTATGATATATATGTGATTAATATCATGATGATAATAATAATAATAATAGTTAAGTGTTTAATATTAACTAATCTCATGTTATACTTTGCGGTATCATATTATTTAGTTAATAACTTTTAACTAGTCAAAATTATGTTATTTCTTAATATCGAAGGAATTTATGATACATAATTTCTTTTTAAAATTAAATAAGACATATTTGCTCACATAATCTACGTGTTAAACTTGATATATAATTTAACAATCCTATGAATTATCAAAATTAAACTCATAGATCGATTTGCTCATAAGTCGGTACTCCAGTTGGCTCTTTAGCCACAATGTTGAGAGTTGAGACATCTCATGAGCCCTAAACGAGGTAGCTCACGAGTTGAGCTCCACAAGCCACCAAGTCGAGCTAACTCGCAAGCTTGGCGAGCTTCAGAAGACTTATGAGTAAATGAAAGAACCCCGCTTCTAGGGATTCTAGGGACTGATCTTCGGCACCCGTAACTACTCGTAACGAATAGGGATTTAGGGTTGAGATTAGGGATTTAGATGAGAAGAACATAATAGAATTGGGAATCGGCCGAGGCCTTGGATTAGGAGAGGATAGAAAGTAGGAGTTGAGAGGATAAACAAGGGTTTAGGAGATTTGATAACGATGTAATTGCACATGTTTGCACCCCTAGTTCTTATCCGTTTGAGGGGCATAGTTGTGTGCTTTTGGCCTATTTTACGCCGGGTTGTGCTATTTTGTCATGTTTCAGGTCCCAGGTGTCAAAGGGAAGGCTAAGCGCGAGTTTCGGGGCATTCGGAAGTCATTTCGGTGAGCTGGAGCCAAAACACGGGCACACCTAAATCATTACACGGCCGTGTTCTGGTGGCCGTGCTTTTTATGCCGAGAGCTGAGCTGATTACACGGGCAGGGCTGAGATAGAACACGGGCGTGCTTCACCAAAGCACGGCCGTGTCCTCCCCGAAGCACGGCCGTGTTTCTCCTAGTGTAATTAACACTAGCCAAAGCACGGGCGGGCTGAGGCATTACACGGCCGTGCCCTCGACCGTGCTTTGGCCACTGATGCTTTTAAGCAGATTTTCAGCCACAATTCAAGGGGGATTCGAGTTTTTGAGAGATAGAACGATTTCTAGAGAGAGAAAGTGACGAACAAGAGTCTCCAAGTGCCCTAGATTGATCTTCAACACCATTGGAGGCCAGCTTGAGCTTGGAGAAGTGCCGATCAACGTACAGAAGCAGGAATCCGTCCTTCACAGTATGAATTCCGTGTCTGATTCTGCTTTTGCTTTCTTCTCCATGGAGTAGTTCTCCCATTCATCTGGGTATGGAGAACCCTAGATTTGTATGTTAGGCTTTGATTGTATGAACCCAAGTACTGATTCTATGATTGATTATATTCGATTGAGGTTTTAATGATTGAATGACTTGAATCCTGATCAAATTCCTGTTGTTTCTGCTTTAACCTAGAATGAGAATATTTGTCTAGGTTAATAGAGTATCCGTGATTGAAGGTAGGGAGTTGGTGACTTTAGTCGAGGAACCAACTCACTATTCTGTACCGGATTTACTCCGGTAGTGGAGGTTTTGTTCTTAGGGCCTCAATCTGTCTACTCCGGTGGAGGTTAGTCGCCCGCTAGAGAGTCAGATTGAGAGGGTCTGAAGACCTTTAGTCGAGACTTCAGGCTGTTTAAGAACCTTCCGCAGTATAACTGTCATAGAAACTGAACTTGATAATTACAATCCGGCTTAACTGCAGTCTAGGGGGGACCATATCCGGGTGACCTCCTTAACTTGAATACAACCGTTTGTTTGCTTTGTTAGTTTGTTAGTTGAGACTTGCATTAAAGTTTTATTGCTAGATAACAAGAATTCACTGAGTGGTCATCACATCTAGGACCCGGGTTGATAATTAAACCCAAACCCGCTATACTACGCTTTAGGAAGTGGTTTCACTTGGCCAATTCTTGGAGTGACAGTAAAGTCGAGTCAAGTTTTTGGCGCCGTTGCCGGGGACGGCTAGGTTGTTGAAGAAAAGTGATTTCTGTTAATTTAGCTTTTTTTTTTGCTTTGTTTGCTTTGTTCCACTTGTGCCTTCACGGGTTTGTTGCTTGAGTGTGTGCAGGTAGTGCATGACCCGTAGCCAGTCAGGAGGTTTACTGCCGTTGAATCCAGAGATTGACTGCACCTGTCGCCAGCTCAGGAGACAACAGCGAGCTAGACTGGCTACGGAAGAGCGCATAGACGGCCACGTGAGCAGTGATTCTGAGGAGGAGTACGAGATGGAAGACTACAATCAACACCAGGGGAATCCTCAGCAGGCTCCCCCGGTGAATCAGGTCCTGGGGAACAACCCCATACCCCAGGATCATGGAGTTCATCACCCACCGCAGCCGGGTCCCACCTTGCTGACATCCGCCCGGTCATCCTCTACCCGCCTATCCCAGCAAACAACTTCGAGATCAAGCCATGCTGGATTCAGCTCATTACATCTTCCATCCAGTTCCATGGCTTGAAGGATGACGAGGCCAGGGTGCATCTTTCCCGTTTTCTGCAGCTGACGAACGGGTTCAAGCTGAACGGTGTCCCGGATGATGCAATCCGCCTTCATCTCTTTCCCCATTCTCTGGCGGGGAATGCTAAGAGGTGGTTGGAGACCCAGCCCCCATTTTCCATCACCTCTTGGGACGATCTGGCGGACAAGTTCGTGCACAGGTACTATCCGGCATCGAAGACTACAGAGATTCAGCGGGAGATCACTCACTTCTGCCAAGAGCCAGATGAGTCACTTCGTGATGCTTGGGAGCGGTACATGGGATACTTCTGGCAGTGTCCCCATCATGGCTTTAGTGATGCTTTCACTGTGGGGAACTTTTACAGTGCCCTCTCTCCAGATAGCCAGAGGGTGATTGAGTCTTTATGCCCAGGAGGGGATGTTCTCACTAAGACTCCACCAGAGCTGAACCAGATGATTAATACTTTGGCTGCCAGAGATCATTCTTGGGGGCAAAGCAGCCGAGGCAGACATTCTCGGGACCGTGGTGTGCACGCCATGGAGTCCAGATCCAGACTCGAGCAGCAGGTAGCTGAGCTGGTGCAGACATTGAAGCAGCCCAACAGTCTTATTCCGGGCAGAGGTTTGGCTACACCTCCAGTTGCTCAGTGTCAGTGGTGTGAGAGCTCCAATCACCTAGTGGAGGACTGCCAGGCTATGAGGGAGTCTACCACACCCCAGGAGCAGTTGGCCTTCATCGCCAATGCGCGGCGCCTCGATCCATACAGCACTACATATAATGAGGGGTGGCGCCAGCATCCCAACTTCGCCTGGAGCAGCAACACCACTAAACCACCTGGTTTCCCAGCACCAGCAGGTGGTCTTCAGCAGAGACAGCCCTTCCAGCCTATGCAGGGGCAGCCATTCCAGCAGCCCCAGCGCCAGTTTGCCGAGCCAGCAGCAGCTCCAGCCCCAGATGACAGGATGACGAAGCTGGAAAACATTCTAGCTTCATTCATGACGAGCACTCAGGCGACTATCACGAGGTTGGACCAGAGTGTAGCCTCACTGGAGGCAGGTCAGAGGAACCAGGGTGCCATTTTGCAGGATCTGCAGACCCAGGTGGGCATCTTGGCCCGCCAGAACACCACCAGGGCACCGGGGACTTTGCCTGCCACCACTGTCCCGAATCCTCGAGATCTCAATCAGCATCAGCAGCTGGATGCCATTTTTACCAGGAGCGGGAAGACCATATCTGCTGATCCTGTCCCGGCCAGACAGGAGGAACCACTGCCTGCTTCAGCACTTCCAGCCGACGATGTAGAAGTGCGGGTGGAGAAGGAAGCCCCTACTCCCAAGCCACAACCAGTGGTTAAGGAACATGTGCCCCAGCTTCCCTTCCCCACTCGCCTACACAAGGACAAGCTGGAGACTGAGTTTGCCAAGTTCATGGCAATGTTGAAGCAGCTCAACATCAGCATACCGTTCGTGGAGGCACTGTCGAAGATGCCCAAGTATGCCAAGTTCATGAAAGATCTCTGCACCAACAAGAAGAAACTTGGGGATCTCTCGACAGTGATGCTGAGCGAGGAGTGTTCTGCTATCCTGCAGAACAAGCTGCCCGAGAAGCGCAAGGATCCAGGGAGTTTTACTATCCCTCTTACTATTGGCAGCATGCATGTAGGAAAGTCCTTGGCGGACCTAGGCGCTAGCATTAACGTCATGCCATATAAGTTGTATAAAATGCTAGACCTAGGTGAACTTAGTCCTACTAGGATGAGCATTCAATTAGCTGATCGTTCTATTGTGCATCCTAGGGGAATCATAGAGGATCTGCTTGTTAGTGTTGGTGCATTCACATATCCTGTTGATTTTATTATTCTTGATATACATGAGGATGTGGATGTACCTTTGATTCTGGGTAGACCATTTCTTGCCACCGCCAAGGCACTTATTGATGTGCATGATGGTAAGTTGATCTTGCGTGCTGGGGATGAATAGGCTACTTTTTCTGTGACTGAATTTGATCACTGTGCTATGATTGCTGTCACGCCTGTGCATGCCATTTCTGATCAGGTACACGAGTCTGTCGTGTACCCTTCTGCACCTCCTATTTTGCAGGACCCTCCTATCATTCCTTCGCCGCCACTCCATCCAGCCACGCATCCGAACAAAAAGCTCAAGGAGGAGTGGCGGCCGAAGCAGCAGGTTGCTAAGCCTGCACGGAAGAAGAGTGGAGACCACTATGAGCTGGTCCCACCCCCTGCACCACGACCGCCCTAGCCGTCCGGGTACTCACTCGCCTGCATCTTGCCAGATGGGCAGGTCGAGCTGACTGATGATGGTGGTCGCATCCGTCGGGTGCATGGCCACAACCTGCAGCTGTACCTCAAGAGCGACGTGGATCCGCTCTTGGAGGAACCTGTTCCTGCACCGCCCTGAGTATCCACCATGGGCGTCCAGCTAAAAGACGGTAAAGAAGCGCTTGTGGGGAGGCAACCCCACCACGGTTTGATTTTCTTTCTTGTGTTTTGAGTCGGATTGTAACCCGGTTTGGGTTTGGTTTGTTTTCTTTTGGTTTGGATGATATTTTATTGGGCTGACCATTGAACCTAACATATTGTGTTTGAGCTCTTCTGTTCCCCTTTGGCTGTGCTTGCCCCGACTGGCCCGTTTCCAGTCTCCTGCAGTCTGTGCATACCGGTAACATCGTTCCCTTTTACTTCCCTCTTCTCCATTGAGGGCAATGTCGATCTTAAGTGTGGGGGGATGTTTATCTTTTGACTGCATTAGAATCTGTTTGTGTGCTTGGAGCCTAGTCCACTGTCCAAATTTTTAAATTTGAGGGCTCCAAGTACGTGTTTCCTTGCAATTGCCTGCTCAGTATGCTTTGAATTGACAGTCTTTATAGTAATATGCAACCTAGGGAGGTAGTGTAGCACTATGGAGGATGTTGATGCATTTAAGAAGTCTCATTTCTTCTTCATATTGTGTTGGTTGATTGAGTGAATTAGTGATCTTAGGACCCTTGAATTGTGTCATGTTGTGGATTTTCTACCTGTCATGGACTCTTGTGTCATGTTTTGAAAATAACAGGTGCTCGAAAATGTGCTTCAAATAACGTCTCCCGTGCGAATAGGGCGAAAGCGTGTAAGGGGAGACGGGAATTCGTTCCCACTTTCCACCTACTACCTCCAGCCCCCTTACATGTCTTTCCCCCGCACGAGGCTCAAGACATCCGCTCCTGGCATGGCCAGTAAGAGCAGGTTGGGACCCTTGAAAAAAAAAGAAAAGAAAAATAACAGAAAACAAGCAAAACAGAAAGAAAAGGGGTTCCAACCATCTTCAAAGAAAATAGAGCACCTTGAAAAAAGTGAGTCCATGATCTTTTGTTTTTGAGAATCTTTTCATCCACAATTCATTTGTCCTCTGTTCACTGTTTGCCATGATGCCGACTTAATAAGAAGCTTTGAGATGACTTGTGCGTCGGTTGACCTCGTAAGTTGCTAATTGACCTAGGAAGTCCTCTACCTACGATCTGGGTTGTTTGCTGCTATAGAGGTCTGGAGAGTTGCATTGGTTTGAGTTAGGTTTGCTTGGGGACAAGCAAACGGTTAAGTGTGGGGGAGTTTGATAACGATGTAATTGCACATGTTTGCACCCCTAGTTCTTATCCGTTTGAGGGGCATAGTTGTGTGCTTTTGGCCTATTTTACGCCGGGTTGTGCTATTTTGTCATGTTTCAGGTCCCAGGTGTCAAAGGGAAGGCTAAGAGCGAGTTTCGGGGCATTCGGAAGTCATTTCGGTGAGCTGGAGCCAAAACACGGGCACACCTAAATCATTACACGGTCGTGTTCTGGTGGCCGTGCTTTTTATGCCGAGAGCTGAGCTGATTACACGGGCAGGGCTGAGATAGAACACGGGCGTGCTTCACCAAAGCACGGCCGTGTCCTCCCCGAAGCACGGCCGTGTTTCTCCTAGTGTAATTAACACTAGCCAAAGCACGGGCGGGCTGAGGCATTACACGGCCGTGCCCTCGACCGTGCTTTGGCCACTGATGCTTTTAAGCAGATTTTCAGCCACAATTCAAGGGGGATTCGAGTTTTTGAGAGATAGAACGATTTCTGGAGAGAGAAAGTGACGAACAAGAGTCTCCAAGTGCCCTAGATTGATCTTCAACACCATTGGAGGCCAGCTTGAGCTTGGAGAAGTGCCGATCAACGTACAGAAGCAGGAATCCGTCCTTCACAGTATGAATTCCGTGTCTGATTCTGCTTTTGCTTTCTTCTCCATGGAGTAGTTCTCCCATTCATCTGGGTATGGAGAACCCTAGATTTGTATGTTAGGCTTTGATTGTATGAACCCAAGTACTGATTCTATGATTGATTATATTCGATTGAGGTTTTAATGATTGAATGACTTGAATCCTGATCAAATTCCTGTTGTTTCTGCTTTAACCTAGAATGAGAATATCTGCCTAGGTTAATAGAGTATCCTTGATTGAAGGTAGGGAGTTGGTGACTTTAGTCGAGGAACCAACTCACTATTCTGTACCGGATTTACTCCGGTAGTGGAGGTTTTGTTCTTAGGGCCTCAATCTGTCTACTCCAGTGGAGGTTAGTCGCCCGCTAGAGAGTCAGATTGAGAGAACTGAAGACCTTTAGTCGAGACTTCAGGCTGTTTAAGAACCTTCCGCAGTATAACTGTCATAGAAACTGAACTTGGTAATTACAATCCGGCTTAACTGCAGTCTAGGGGGGACCATATCCGGGTGACCTCCTAGTGTAATTAACACTAGCCAAAGCACGGGCGGGCTGAGGCATTACACGGCCGTGCCCTTGACCGTGCTTTGGCCACTGATGCTTTTAAGCAGATTTTCAGCCACAATTCAAGGGGGATTCGAGTTTTTGAGAGATAGAACGATTTCTAGAGAGAGAAAGTGACGAACAAGAGTCTCCAAGTGCCCTAGATTGATCTTCAACACCATTGGAGGCCAGCTTGAGCTTGGAGAAGTGCTGATCAACGTACAGAAGCAGGAATCCGTCCTTCACAGTATGAATTCCGTGTCTGATTCTGCTTTTGCTTTCTTCTCCATGGAGTAGTTCTCCCATTCATCTGGGTATGGAGAACCCTAGATTTGTATGTTAGGCTTTGATTGTATGAACCCAAGTACTGATTCTATGATTGATTATATTCGATTGAGGTTTTAATGATTGAATGACTTGAATCCTGATCAAATTCCTGTTGTTTCTGCTTTAACCTAGAATGAGAATATCTGCCTAGGTTAATAGAGTATCCTTGATTGAAGGTAGGGAGTTGGTGACTTTAGTCGAGGAACCAACTCACTATTCTGTACCGGATTTACTCCGGTAGTGGAGGTTTTGTTCTTAGGGCCTCAATCTGTCTACTCCAGTGGAGGTTAGTCGCCCGCTAGAGAGTCAGATTGAGAGGGTCTGAAGACCTTTAGTCGAGACTTCAGGCTGTTTAAGAACCTTCCGCAGTATAACTGTCATAGAAACTGAACTTGGTAATTACAATCCGGCTTAACTGCAGTCTAGGGGGGACCATATCCGGGTGACCTCCTTAACTTGAATACAACCGTTTGTTTGCTTTGTTAGTTAGTTAGTTGAGACTTGCATTAAAGTTTTATTGCTAGATAACAAGAATTCACTGAGTAGTCATCACATCTAGGACCCGGGTTGATAATTAAACCCAAACCCGCTATACTACGCTTTAGGAAGTGGTTTCACTTGGCCAATTCTTGGAGTGACAGTAAAGTCGAGTCAAGATTCTTCTTATATTGTTCTTCACTGATTATGACGTAAACCCGAAGTACATATTTATAGGAAACAAACCCAAAACCCTAACAATTAACCTTAATCTACTCGGCCACTCTAGCCGCCTAACCCTACTAATACGCATAACACTATTAATTATTATTATTCTAATCATATATATTGCTAACATTCCACCCTCCTTGAAAGCGACCTTGTCCTCAAGGTTGCAGTCAACTTCCGTCTTCTTGATCTTCCACTTTCTTCGCTTCCAATCACACTCAATTCTACAAGCTCATCTTTCTCCAGCAATTTCCACTTTCCACGACTCTTCTCCCGCCACGTGGCACATACGTTCTTCATAGCCGAATGATTCGCCTTTTCCATTTCGAAATCCACGAAATAAGAGTCGGAGAATAGTTCTTCCTTGTGCTCTAGCTCGAGGTCTTCGAAGAAATGCTCCATAAAATCCTCCATGGACTTGGTGGTGAAAACGACCCATAAGTTTACCCAACCTTCCTTTCCTACTCCCTTGGGTCGGCCCACATTAGCTTGTAAGAATGAGTTGTGGCCCAAACCCAAGTCCAGCCTCTCTTTACTCCTAACTTCGCGTGGGCTTGTCTCCTCCAAGAGCCCACCTTTTAAGTCCACCAAGCCTTCTTCTTTCTTTAAATGACTTCTCTGTAAAATAAGCCCAATAAAATAGCCATCATTGGGCTCGATTTCTTTAAGACTTGGCCCATCAACGAACATAAACTTTCTCTTATGATGCGGCCCAATTGTTTCAACGGAGCCCACCACTTCCTTCTTCTTTGCCAGCCCATGGCCAAAACTGATGGGCCCAAGCTCTATAGACTCTGGCCCATGAAGGTTGTAGGGTTGCAACTCTTGGAAGGGAAAGAGAGGCAACGGTTCACATGAGGGAGGAGCATCGCCGCTCGCCCTCTTCGTCTCCCTCGTCCCTTCTTTTCCCGGCGGCGAGCAACCCGATGGCCATCCTGGCTTTGGCGACTTTCTCATCGAACGGCGACCACCACGATGACAGGGAGGAAGACCCAAGTCCGTCATCTTAGTCGTTCGTTCCTCCTCCATCTCCGTCGTCGACTCACTCCTAAATAGCGGAGCTGCCACTTCCTCTGGCGGCGGCCTCGCCGTCTTCTTCGCCGACGACTCCTTCTTCGCTGACACCCGCTCCTCGTCGTTCGCCGACGACGCGATCTCCAGAAGGTTGGGAGGAAGGTTCGTCGTGACGCTCCTTTCCTCCGGCGGAGAGTCTTCGACCCGACGGGTAGGATTCGAGCTCCCTGCCTCCGTCTGTCCTCGTGGAAACCTCAACTCCAGCGAATTATCCCAGCGCTCGATCTCAAGGCCATCTCTGGCCTTTCGCTTCCTCCTCCTGAACTTCCAGCCATCGATACGATGACCCAATGGATCTATGGTCATTTTTGGCGCAGTGATGAGAGATAGGTTTGGCAGGAGCAACCACTTTTCAGCTTGTGCGGTTATTGTGGATTCGTCCTTTGCCACAGAGGCTGCCTGGATACCAACAACAGCTCTCGAGGTGGTGTCGCAGTAGTGCGACAGTCGCTCTTATTCTTTTGACCGCGCAGTTCGCGCTTCCGCGATTGACGTCACCGCGGCGGTCACCAGTGTTGGGTCGCCCTCTGGTCCTACGACGGTGGCCACAACATCCTGATTGGGAATTTCTTCTAGCGTCGCCATGATTGAGGGTGAAACCTCCATCGTAGCCATCATCACGCGTGGCGTGGTTCCACCCCGCTTGATTGGGAACACAGGTTGTTCCAACCAATCTTCGAAATCCATTTCTGCCATTTCTGCAGATGCGGTCTTCATCGGCTCCTTTGACGCGACGGCTGCAGCTTTGGATAGAGCAGCCCGCGCGATGTTCCCGAACAGCGGCAAGGACGAGGTACCCTCGTTCTTCCACACCTCTCCAGTTTCAACTTCAACATCTTTGTGAGTTCGTTGATTGATAGCCTTTCGAATTTCGACATGGCTGCGGTACGAGTGCCTGCAACCAGGCTCTGATACCACTGAAATAGATTAGGGATTTAGATGAGAAGAACATAATAGAATTGGGAATCGGCCGAGGCCTTGGATTAGGAGAGGATATAAATTAGGAGTTGAGAGGATAAACTAGGGTTTAGGAGATTCTTCTTAATATTGTTCTTCACTGATTATGATGTAAAGCAAAAGTACATATTTATAGGAAATAAACCCAAAACCCTAACAATTAACCCTAATCTACTCGGCCAATCTAGCCGCCTAACCCTACTAATACGCATAACACTATTAATTATTAGTATTCTAATAATATATATTGCTAACAGTAAACGAGTCGAGTTTCGAATGAGTTTTTCCTGAGTTGAACACCGAGCCGCTCGCGAGCAGTTTGGCTCATTTGCAGCCCTACCTAGGAACCCCAGCCCCCGTGCCACTTTGTGACAGCGGGGCCTACTAAACTTGGGGGCCACCTGCAATCAATTCGATGCCAATGAGGCTTCGCCGCTAGCAGCCTTATACCTCCGGAAACACAAACGAACCTCGCTTGGATCAGAACCTGGGATCTGCAACTCACAAGTTTTCACTGTCGCGACAACTTTACTGTTTGGCTATCTTACCTTTGGTCTCACAATTTTTTATATTTGTTGGGTTTGGTAGTTTGGTGGTAGGCTGACAGATGATTAGTAAGTATAATGAATAATTCATAATTGGTGATTGGTGTGGGTTTATTACGTCATTCCCGCACTTTCACTGCAACGCTCTTCGTTCTTCAGTTGTGAGTCTCAGCATCGCCGACTATTTAATGAAGATGTTCTATCTATGTAAAGAATCAAGAAATTCAATTTAAAACAAAGAAAAGAAAAATCAATTAAGCAAAGTAGGAAAAATAACAATTTATTAATTCTCATAATATGGCCCACTTAAAACTAAGGTTCTATATTTGATTTTGCAAGTCTGTGTGCATTATCAAGAGATGCACACTACGGGACCGGATCAAGTGCTCAACTTTGTAGTCAAGAAGACAATAACCATACATAAGTCAATTACAATCCACCACATAAGCACCACACTCTCTCTCATGGAAAACTTTTTATATTTTCCCCTTTAATATTTAACGGACGATTTTTCTCTCGTTTTATGTCAGAATTTAAAAAAATTTGCACAGATAAAATCAGATTAATTGTGATCTTCAAAATGACATCCACTTTGATATATTTTTTTAAACAAAAAAATTGAAGCATTTTTTTAATCAGTCTATACCATGGTGGTATTGATTGGTATTAAAATAAGAGCATACCATATTGTATGAAGATACCCAAGACTGTAGGATGGTTAATATATGATAGTAGGAGTATACTAAATGTCATTTACGACTTTCAACATTGTGTGCCACAAGATACCACCCAATATCCAGAGTGGTATTGTGTGGTATTTTTTGGTCCTGTATTTTGTTCACCCATAAATTTCAAAATTTGTAGATCCAATAGATCATGATGAACTCGTACCTTCTGTGCAAAAATTTACAAAAACGACTTAAAAACAAAGGAGATACCATATAGTATGTAGTTGGTAACGAGAGATAAGAAATATTTGGTAAGTAATGTATTCATAACTTGATATGGTTTCTTGTTTTTTAATGGAGTAAGATTTAAGCGCATGAAATATTTGGTAAGTAATGTATCCATTTGTCATCTATAAAATTATATTCGCTTTCAATTTTCAAGAGAAAAAATGTGTACCACTCTGCGCCAGTTTAATATTAACTAAAAAAATTTAAAAATTTTGCAACAAAAAAACGGGCTCATCATGATCTTTTATGATCTACAAATTTCTAAAAAGAAATTCCATATGAAATATATCACCATGATATAGGATGATAAATGGTGGAAGTCAAATGACACATATAAAATACTATTTTAGATCCCTCTGTATTATGATTAGAATTGCATAGTTTCCATATATTTATCATCATAATATATTGACTTTGCTACATGATCACTCGAAATACGTTTTAGTAGCACTAGACTTTATTTTATCATTTTGATGCACAGTTGGTAGTGTTTCGTGTGTTTTCAGTGCATAGTATCGTAGTGGACTGCTTTATACATTTTGGAGGACATCTGGACTCGACTGTTAGGAGACAGAAGGGGGAATGAAGAGAGGTAAGAAAACATCACTTGATTATGTGGACCAAACACCAGAACGACACCTAGGTTGACGTTTTGTGACCCGTCCAGAAGACACCCAAATCCTTCGAGAATATGCTTTTTGTGGTGGTGATTCGGGTCCAATTGTGCACATTTTACTCCTCATTTTTTGATAGTTTGGCTTTGCATTTCATCATCCCTCGACATATTTCACGCTAGGTTGTGCTTGTTTTGATATATTTCAGGTCATAGCACGTGTGGAAGGGTCGAGGACGAGTTTCGGGACGATTGGAGGTCAAAAAGCGCAAAAACAAAAGAAAATTTCAAAGATCGTGACAATTTCCCCGTACAGTGAACCGTAGGCATCCAGGAACCAGCCTCAATTCATGATCAGAGCTGCGAGTTCACGATCGCCAGGAACGTGAATTGGAACAACAAACTGTGAACAACGAGGCGTTTAGGGGGTTCTAAAGGTTACTGACGACAGGGCAGTTCACGGTCGCTAAGATCGTGAACTTTGAGAACAAACCGTCAACCCCGGGAAGTGAAGTGGTACGTTATGGCCACTGCACTGAGTTCACGGATGCGTTAAGGGGAGTTCTAGTGAGAGAGAGAGAGTGATCTTGGAGCTTAATTGAAGGCATTGATCAAACTTGGAAGCTAGGAATTAAGGCTAGAAGAAGAAGATGAAGATCTAGAGGTTTCTTTGTAATCTCTCCTCTCTCTCTCTCTAGAAACTCACCCTCTTCTCTTGGGTTTAAGAGCCCTAGGTCTAGATTTGGGTTTAATGTTGATGTATGTGACAAACTCCATGATTGATTGATGATTTTACTTAATTGATGGATGTTTTCATGAATGGCATGAGTTGGGTTTCCATTTTCATGTATTGAGCTTTTAACCTAGAAGGGAGATTGATATTCGGCTTTAATATATCGGATTCTTGGACTTTATGTGATTATCTGTGGTATGTTTTAGCCAATTGGTGCTATTTTAGGGCTCGCTAACCCGGAAATGGTTGAAAAACCATTACTGCCTAGTGCCATGAGTTTGATATGTTACAGGTGGAGAAAGCACGAAAAAGAAGCGAGTGCACAACAAGTGGTTGGGCCAAAGCCCAAATGGATGGGACTTTGAATTAATGCTGGCGGAATTGGACTTGCTGGGCGATCAACTGACATCATGAATGGGCCAAGGTGATGTGGCGGCCATTTTTGGCCCAAGGAGGAGGAAAGGAACGGAAATCTCTTTGAACGGCCAATTTTCCAGCGGCTTGAGCCGAATTCAACGAGAGCGATTAGTTGGTTGGATTTTCTGAACCGAACTAGTTGTGTATTGTTGATTTAGAACATGATGAACAAAACCCTATCGATTTATCTTAATTTCGTCATGAACTAAACCCCAATTTCTGGGGGAAACACCATAGGATGTAGCTATTTCTTGATTTGATGGATTGATTTATGATTCTTTTCTTCCAATCTCTATTGCATGAAATTTCTTAATGCTTTGTGTTGACTGGCCACCAATACAATGAATCGTAGTTGATTAGGTTATTAGCGACAGTGAAACCCTATTAATTGAACCTATTTAATGTGACATAGTAACTTATCGAAGCGACAGTGGATTAAATAAGGTGCTATGCGGTCTTAAATAGGATATCGATCTTCAGGCTATAAAGTTAATTCATTGAGCTACGACAGTAGGATTTGAATTGATTATTTAGTACGTAGTAATTCCCGACAGGGATAGCTAGCACATTCGTGATATCCTGGCTGTAGAGAATTGGATTAAATTGATTGGAATATGTGAATTAATCTGGATAGGATAGGTAGTGAATCCCGGTGTTTCTCCCAGAGCTTTCTCCCATTGAATTAAACCAGACAGTTTTCACTTGCTTAATTTGTTTAGTTAATTTTGCTTTTAGTTAATAATTTCATCTCTTAAACATTTTCACATATAGTTTGCTCGAAAGAATTGATAAATCATAAGGTTGTACCAGTCCCTGAGAGACGATACCCGGACTTTCCGGATTACTACAAGATAGGAATTGGCATTACGCTTTTGCCCTATCAAGTTTTTGGCGCCGTTGCCGGGGACTGCCATACCTTATTTTTGTTGATTTTTGTGAGTGAACTGTTTTGATCTGGGTGTTAGTGTGCAGGTGAATTTTTCAGGTTAATCCTCCTCGTGCATGCCAAGGAGGACGACTGCAATTTACTGCCACTAGATCCCGAGATCGAGAGGACCTGCCGACAGAATAGGAAGCAGGTCAAG